GCGAGCAAAAACCTACGTAAATGTAAATAATTTTGAAAATGTCTGATGAACGGGACTTTTAGTCTATCCAGTCTCCAGTTGCTTTGCTACGTCTGCTTTTACTTCACTGCTCAGCTTGGTAGAAGAATATGTGCTTATTTGATATGACTTATATTAGTGCGGTATATCACTGAACTCGCAAAATTGAAATCTAACACAAAAATGCTTGTAAAGGCTGCTGTTTTCAGAGGTCACAGGGAACTGGGCCAACGTTAACGACCGTACATGAGACCGAAGGATACCAAATGCAAAAAGTGATGTTGAGACGAGTTCAGGCGAGTTGAAACTGAAATTCACTCCTGCCCGGATTGAAAAACCATTTTGATAGCAGAGCTATGTGGAATATATTGAAAATATGAGGTTTACTCATATGATTGTGTGAAAATTAAACTACCAGTCCTTCATCACCATAAACGAAATAGAAAATACTTAAGTTCTACTAGTAGTCTCGGAAATTTGCTTATAAACGGAAAATGTAACCATTAAGTCACCCAATCACGGCGATTGACAGGGCAGAAAAGACCTACTCCACGTCACAATTGTGGTAGAGTTGTCGAATAGACGAACTTGTATGTTTATTTCAAATAGGTAGGTTATTGCGACTGTACTTAGATCTTAAATCAGAACTTTCCTCAGTTTTTGCGTCAGTTGATTTCGAGATTGCAACCCTCGACAGCTCGAGGTTATGACATGAGAAGCCATTTGACTCCAAATTAGGCTGGGCTTCCGTTTCGACCTCGCTCTGGTTTCATTAGCTTCCCCATCAGAAACTAAAGCCAGCTAGTTTCAAGATTCTGTCCCAAAACTTATTTTTGTAACAATTGACACTATGCTACTTATATTCATAATTAGTAGTTGAGAATGATATATAAGAAATATATGTAATTGTCTGCTCATTATTTTTTAGATAATTGGTGCCATGTGGGAGTGTGAGAGGGCTGTAAATTGAGCGTGGTTTATCTGATGAGTAAGCTGAGAAAAGTTGGAAATGGGTCAATGGTCAATCTTGACAATAGCATGATTGGAAAAAACTTGGAGCACTCGGTTAACTCGATACGACTTACGGCATAATCCTGGTTTGATCACCGAGCTTGGCCGACATTTACAGCCGACACGTGTGAATTTCTTACACCTGTATGATTGCGTTCCAGTTTTTGCGTCACAGACTCCGATGGGCTGACACCCAGCCGAGTTGGCGTTGAGTCGGTCGCAGTTGAATCGCATCTGTCTTCGTGTCGTCTGCTCTACACATTTGCCGCCATCCAACTTCGGCGTTTTGACAACCGTCTCGATGAGGCCGAGATTATTAAGGCAGGTCGTCTTGACGTCACCTTTGGGACAGCAGCACTTGGCGACAACTGTCCGGGTTACCGGTATGCAGGTGCAGTTCTCCACGGAATAGGTGACCGAGGTTGTAATTCTATTGCAGGATTTCGCCTCACAGTCGCTCACAACAACCGTGGCTCGTGGACAGACAATCGGCTTCACAACGTCCTTAAAGATATTGAGACAACGACAGTTCTCCATTCGCGGGAAATATTGACGCTCCAGCCAGACAAGTCCGTTTCTGGCACAGCTTCGTTGCGGTTTCGGTGTCAGGCGACATGAACAGTCGCATTTTTGCGTCCTCACCTGCCGGACGCATTTGCAATTCCGAGGCACCGACCTTATGAAGACCTGAATTCCGCAACGACTGGCGTTGGCGCTAGATTTGGCGGGAGGCTGGAGTGTCCAGAGGTTCGGATTACAGACGATGGGCCGGCTTTCGGTGATCTGTTGTGTCTGGCACCGGCCACCGACCAGGACGGACCGGTTTCTGGTCACCAAAAGTTGGCCGTTGCTACACTTTGTCGTCTCTGCTTGCTTGGGCCGGACGCATGAACAGCCAGTCTGCGGTAGCCAGCGCACTCGACGCTCTTTGACGCAACGACAGCCATCGTCAAGCGAGACCACGGTTTCCGTGATCTGAATCCGAGACTGTCCGGTCAGCGGATCGCAGACCTCCTTCACCCGTTTTGGTTCGTCACTCCGACATGACACGGGCTTGATGCGCTGAGTGCTCTTCTTCTGGCACCGACCGGCCGTCAAGCGATACACCGTCTCGTGTAGCACAATTCTCCAGTTGACCTTGTCGCAGAAACGCCAAACCTCGGGCGCCCGGCAACCGCACTCACTTGTGCTCTGGTGTAGCAACACTTTGGTACAATTGCATCGTCTCGCACGCAGTTGACTCGTCGTACGACTGAGGCGTCGTGTTGCCGGGTCACAGTGCTCCTCGGGGAGCAGACGTTCCGGGCAGACGACCCGCGTCCATGTGGTCACTAGATGCCGGGAGCATGTGTCGGCCTTGCCGAGGGAGTAGCTTGTGTGCTGGACGATGAGTCGGTCGCCGGCGACCGAACAGCGTTGCTCCTTTCTGTCCGGAAGGCAACAGCAACTCTTGACGCTGCTGTACTCCAACCTGCGACACTTGCCCGTCGCGTCCATGGCCTCTTTCACGTAGGTCGTTTGTATTCGACATGTTTTTTGGTTGCATTCGGACACGTTGACGATCCGCGGTAGCGGATTGCAGGCGCACTTGATCGCTTTCCTCTCCAACCGGGCGACGCATGTACAATTCGACAGGGTGTAACTGCGCTCGGTCAACACGCCTGCACCAGAGGCTGACACGCAGGAGGAGAAGGCCTCCGGCCGGCCACATGTGATGGTGGACACCTCTCGTCTCACGGGAACGCGAATCGTCTTGTTCTTGCTTGCCACGTACTCCAGCTCCGTCGTCAACGTCTCCATCAAAGAGCCACGAAGGCATCGTTTCTTCACCTCTCGCTTCGCCTGCAACACACATGGCCTCATCTGCCTCACCAGCTGCAGACTACAAGTACACTTTTTGCGATCAATCACAGCCTTTTGTCTGGTCACAGTTTGAAGCGGCTTCCCGGCAGTCTCACGACACTCTGACACTTGAGGTATTGGACTGGTTGGCGGGCAAACTGAAGCATCGTGAAAACAGATGAAGGAGAGTGAGTGAGAGAGAGAGACAAGTCAACTTAACTACCATCGATAGAATAGGCATCAAATTGTACATGAAACTATTTTTGCCAGAATTATTGGGAGATTCTGTTATTATTATTATTATTATTATTAGGGGGACCTTCATTTCGAATGAAAGTACATGAAGAATAGATTCGTTTGTCGATCTCACCAGATAAGGACGGATGAAAATCGTTGTACTGCAGCCATTTAGCTTTTACATTATATTCATGTTGACGCAGTCCACGAGTATTATTCTGTTGATACTCCTTTTGTTAATATATGTAGCTTTCGATGACATCAGTGATATATGAACTGATATTTGACTTTTTCCCACAATAGTGGAGTAAGCCGCACGATATGATCCAA